GCGCGACCCCGCCCCCGGGGTTTCCATCCTGCCTCGGCCCTGCCTCCCCCTCTCTGTGTAGTTGCATAGTGCCTGGCTGGTAGACATGCTCATGCAGCATGAGCGTGTCTACCAGCCAGACAGTTTGCAACTAGATACTGATACTCCTAATAGGTAAGCTTTATTAATTAGAAAATAGCGGGCATTTTATATGTTCGGTATTTTCTTAATATTTTCCCTGGACAGAACCCTCAAATACTGGACTGTCCAGTTCAAAACCAGACACCTGGCAACCCCAACTATATAGTAAATGGATGCTTTTTAATGACTGAAATAGTAATGAGAGAGCTTTTAGATTGACTACTAAGCGCTGAAACACAGACAGCCTGTTTTAAAGTAAATTATTTCATTTGGCAAGAAGAAACCAGTGGGCTCTAATCAGTAATGAGCTTCCCACAGTTTCAGTGATCTATCTGCATGGAGCTCATCACACAATCTCTTCCCTGTTGAAGCCATGAATAGTGACAACAGAGCTACTTCGGATTCAGGAAGACAACATTGTATTTAATCCCACTGACACGATTTTCAATTAAGGCCTAAAAACTTTATTTTTTGTAGTGAACATTTAGATTCTGCCTCACTCTTACTGGTGTGACTAAGATCAGAATATGGCACAACTCTAACCTGCATTCTGAATTTAAAGAACCAGAGGGAGAAAAGAGGGTGCATGGAATGGCAAAATGGAAATCTATAAGGGTATTAATCATGCAATTTATTGCACATAAATGTACATAAACATAGCTATTAAAGCTGTTAGCTTCTCTTCTTAGCTGTTAAAATATGCCCGTTTCTTTGAAGTGGAAGGAAGAACTTTAGTCCGAAAATAAAGAAAAGGAACAAATTTATCCTTAAGAGCAGCTGATGTGTTGCTTTTGGTTTTGTTTGAGGAAGGATGATTCTTACTCACTGGAAACATTTAGGTATAGATCCAATAAACAGATCATTTTAGAAAAGTGAGAAGAACAGAGGGTTCAGTTAATGGTTAACATTCCATTATCGATGACTTGTTTAAATAATCTGATTATTTCAAACAGAGGTAATATGCAGATGCTGATATGAGAACAATATATATTTTCTGTTGTGCATATAACTGTGAGCCATGCAATCATTTTAATAACCACTGTGAATTTTCGATCTGTATCTGAGACAGATTTCAACTACTCAAAATTGAGAACTGAGATTGCTAAAAGGATCTTTTTTTTTTTCTTTCTTTCTTTCTTTGCTACCAACTCATAGACTTTAAGGTCAGAAGGGACCTATATGGTCCTCTTGTCTGACCTCCTGCACATTACAAACCACAGAACCTCACCCACTATGTAGTAGGCCAATAATTTCTGGCTGACTTACTGAACTCCTGAAATCTTGATTTAATTACTTCCTTGCCATTGTAGGCAATCTCATCATACTATCCTTTCTATAAACTTATCAGAAACTGACTTATAAGCTCAGTCTTAAAGTCAGTTAGGTTCTCCCCTCCCCCTCAATTATTCACCTTGGATGGCTGTTCCAGAACTTTGCTCCTCTGATAGCTGGAAACTTTAACTAGCACCTGATGTTTTAAAATGTTGATATTATTATATAGTCGCCATACCACTGAGAGTATATTTGACACTTGGACATAGCTGCCAAGATTTGTGCTGCTCCATATGTGACATTTCTAATTGAGAAACAAACCTTGACTTACCCCTTAGGTTCACCTACAGCAGTCAGAGCAGATTTGAGGAAGGCACACACCTATTCCTTGCATGCTTTAGAATTCAGAAGTTTGGAAGGGGTTCTGTGGGTTGGAGGAGATCGGATTGCAGTGTTGGAGGAAAGGTGATGTGGGATTTACTAGAGGGAGAAATCCTAGAGAGGGATTGTCCATAGGAGGAGATTCTGATGCAGCGTACAAGGCTGTAGATGGGCTGTTAGGAGCTGATGGACTATAGAAGATATAGATGAATAATGGATGGGAATGAGGGGTGCTTGGGGAAGATCTTTTAAACCCCTGACACACTGTAATGGTTGCCAGAAAATGTAAATGTGTCTGAAAACTAGGACATTTCCCTAAACCAGTGGAGAAACTATAGCTGGTTACCTGCAGCCCTGCAAGATCTGTTATATGTATGACAAGTGGAATGGTAATTTGAAGGCCCTCTAAGGTTTTCATATTTGCTTGCTGATATTGACCACCATTTAAATCATTGCAAATAATTGTTATATTAACCATTGAAAACTAGGACATTTCCCTAAACCAGTGGAGAAACTATAGCTGGTTACCTGCAGCCCTGCAAGATCTGTTATATGTATGACAAGTGGAATGGTAATTTGAAGGCCCTCTAAGGTTTTCATATTTGCTTGCTGATATTGACCACCATTTAAATCATTGCAAATAATTGTTATATTAACCATTAGCCAGGGCTCATCGATTAACTTTCATGATTACACACAGGCTCCCACGATGCATAGAAAGCTGGCTTAAAAGCCAGCTCTTGGTGCAAGCCAGCTCCTGGGGAGCCACCTGCACCTGCCATTCCCCACCAGCTGGTGCTCAAGGGGAGCCAGCTTAGAAGCTGGCTACCTGTGTGCACTGGCTCCTTGGGACTTACCTGCCCCCGCTCACTGCCTGTGTTCTGGCTCCCCACATGCATTGGCTCCCTACTGCATAGAAAGCTGGCTTAAAAGCCAGCTCTTGGTGCAAGCCAGCTCCTGGGGAGCCACCTGCACCTGCCATTCCCCACCAGCTGGTGCTCAAGGGGAGCCAGCTTAGAAGCTGGCTACCTGTGTGCACTGGCTCCTTGGGACTTACCTGCCCCCGCTCACTGCCTGTGTTCTGGCTCCCCACATGCATTGGCTCCCTACATGTAACCACTGACATTTTCAACAGATACATTTACATGATTAAACAGATTTTAACATCCCTAGTCCACACTAGAAAATTAGGTTGGTTTAGCGACATTGTTCCTGGCTGTGAAAAATTCCTCCCCTCCCCTCCCCTCCCCTCCCCCTTCTGCGTGGTGGTATTAAGATGACCTAAGTCTCCATGTATTCTGCGATAGAAAAATGGGATAATTCTTCTGTCATCCTAGCTTTTGTCTCTCAGGGAGGTGGATTTCCTAACCTGGCAGGAGAACCTCACCTGTTGGCATAGCTACATAGTTCTGTAGTCCCCAACCCCACCCCTTCTGCCTGAAGCCCTGCCACTTCCAGAAGACCTGGAGCTGGCCCACAAGCACATACCAACATTTGTGAAGTGGCCTACCCTACAAAAATCATTGCCGACCCTTGGATTAAATAGTCTTACAGTATGCAAACTGCTTGTGGAACTGAGTAGCCTCTGATGTTTCCCTATTCAATCTGCTTGATCCCAGAACTGACATTGAGTGAGTGGGAGTGACTCGGGGAGCAGCTCAAACATGGAAAGAGGCTGATCAGGGGCAGGACATTAGCCTTGGGGGGCAAGGTGAGTGTGGCAGTGACATCACAAGGCCTCTTGCAGCATCTCAGGTTATTGGCTAAAGGATGTTAGGAGTTGATGACCTCACAGAGAGTCCATGACAATGGCCAGGTAGGACAGGCTGCAGGGCAGGGACAATTTCAGAGACCTCCATGGCTTTGCTGCAGGGAGTCTCCTTCACGAGGTCTGCCCTTGAGGACTGAGAGAATATTCAAGGTACATGAGCAGGAACCTCTTTGGAGTGTTCTCCTTTCCCAGAACTAATTGAGGTAGAAGACAGACATCCCTGTGGAGAAGGTAAGAGCCTGTGAGATGTTTAGTGCCGATGCAGACTGATCCACCTGGTGCTGGCCAAATTCAAGGTATGGGAAACACAAAGTTAAATTGGGAGAATTATTTTCCCACCTAAGCCTTTTGTCCCTTATTACTGGGGACATTGGAGTTTTAGGGTTTTTTTTTTTCATTTCCCTTTACCCATAGCTTCCTGCCCCACAGAGTCTAACTGCTGATTGGAAGGGTCAGTAACAAGTAGGAGACTTAGGACTTGTTTTTCTATTTAAGGCCCAGAGAATGAGCCAAGGAAGGGGTGAAGTCTCTTTAGGGAAGTTAGCTTATGTTGGGCAAACATTTTTTGTTTCTTTGAGTTTGTTATTAGACTCTTTCATTACTTCAGCAGAGGAGGGACTTTGAAGCTGTCACAAGAGGCACTTCACTGCAGGGCTGAAATGGCTGTTAAAGATGCTAAGTGGGGAAAGTCTGCTATGCCATGTCCAGCCCTAAGTGGATATAGGGGCTGTAATCTATAATAATAAAAATGATAATTTTACAGGTTCAAATTTATTGGTAATTAAAAAGTCCTCAAATAATCAAACTTGAGTGAGTTTGAGTCTGTTAGAACTGATCCTACAGCCTGATGACAAGTCTGATTCTAATTTCTCTGCATCCTTCCTGCACTTGGTATAATCTTTTGGGATGTCCTGTTGTGCCATGATTAATGCCTCCTGTGCTACCACATAGACACTTCTCAAATTCTCCATCTGTTTTTGCCAACTTAACTGCTTTACATTTTCCTCACCACACTACGTCTGACATTCTTTAAACTTTCCTTTAATTTCTTGCAAGTTAAGAGCCAAGGACACATTGTCAAATAGCAATTTTTAAATTCCACATTCTTTTTTTAAGAATCTCATCCACTTCATTGACCTCTTCTCCCCTCCCTCCCCCCCGCACACACACATCTGTTTAACCTGTAATTCAAATATTTTCATCCTTTGAATTTACAGGAGGGAGGGAAAAAATACTCTACTTAACCTCTAATTAGACAAGAAGCAATGGACTTAAATTAAAGTAAGGGATATTTAGGTTGAACATTGGGGAAAACTAATGGTAAGGGTGGTTAACCCCTAGAATAGGTTGCCAAGGGAGGTTGTTGAATCTGCCAGTGAGGCTGCTGCGGCTCTGTCCCCACTCCCAGGCCAGCACACAGAGGCTGCCCTGGCTCCATCTGGGTTGCCGGGCGGCTGCTGCTGCCCTGATGCCACGGCCTTGCTACTGCTGCTGGGCTGCTGAAGCCCTGGCCTTGCTACCATCAGCCTTGCCTTTTCTGGGGCTCTTAGATGCTGGCCTTCCTGCCCCAGGGCTCTCTCATTGAGCAACATCCATGGTTCTCCCAAACCACAGATGTTACCAGACAAGAATCCCAGTTTAGGAAGGTACAACCTATGTATCTTATAAATAATTCAAGAGCTCCTTTAGTATTTATTTCTCAGCAGCAGGCAGCATATGACTATTTCTGGCACTTTACCGAGTTAGTTGCACTGTATGTATTTTGATTTTATTCAAAGGTTTCCCCACACAGGCACTTGGCTGCAAGGTCCGCTGCGTTTGTTACAAACCAGGATGTGACAATCAGAGCAAAGCTTCGCTATCTTATTCTTGACAAGTAGATTTAAACTTTGTCACATTGAATCAATAATTGATTATTGGGATCCCAGCTGTGCTTTCACTTTGTAATCAATAAAAAAATTATACTCTATTTTACAGGTTCAAATTTACAAATAACTAATAAGACCTTCGCTAACCAAGCTTGACTGAGTTCTATGAAGCAACTGTTAGGGTACGTCTAGACTACATGCCTCCTGGGATGAGGCATACCTGGGTGGTCGACAAATACCTTTGATGTTGGCAGGGGAGAGTCCAAACTATCACGCTGAGCCGACAAACAGCTGATCAGCTGTTTGTCGGCTCAGCGTGATAGTTTGGACTCTCCCCTGCCAACATCAAAGGTATTTGTCGACCACCCAGGTATGCCTCATCCCAGGAGGCATGTAGTCTAGACGTACCCTTAGTGAGTGCATAACAGAAAAGGCATACATTGCCAAGATCTGTTAGAACTGATTCTGCGGTCTCATGTCTGATCCGATCTCTTCATTGCTAATAATGGCTTATACTTTAGTATTTTTATAATCAGATGGTTTACAATCCCATTTGTTGTTCTTTCCATACCATGATTAAAAAGGAAGTTCTGAGCACTTCTGTGATTTAGACAACTGCTGCTTACTCATGTACTTGCCATCAGCATATTATATTTATGCATACTTTTGTTTATTGTAGTTAAGACACTGCTCACTAACTCAAAAGGATAGGGCACTATATCAAAGGTTTTTATATCTTTCTGAATAACTACAGCATGCTGGTATTTCTCCACCTCTTAGCCTGTCTATTATTGTAAATAGTGGTTTCAGAGGGGTAAACAGAGTTAGTCTGAGACAGGAAAAACTTAAAAAATAACAAATAGTCTAATAGCACTTTAAAGACAAACAGAACATGTAGATGGTATCATGAACTTTCATGGGCACAACCCACTTCTTGTCATCTGAAGAAGTGGGCTGTGCCCACGAAAGCTCATGATACCATCTACATGTTTTGTTAGGGTACATCTAAACTATGTTCTGTTTTCGAAACGATATACAAATTCCATGAGAATTTGCATATCTTCTTCTGATCTCACTTTCAAAAGCAGAGCTTTCGAAAATAAGGCTGGACGCGTGTGGATTTTTTTTGGGGGGGAGGACCTTTTTTGAAAAAAAACTCATAAATTTCATTTTTTTCAAATTCCTGGGAAATTTGCATATCCTCTTTTGAAAACAGAGCGTAGTCTAGACATAGCCTTAGTCTTTTAAGTGCTACCAGACTATTTGGGTTTTTTAAAAGTTTTTCTTGTAAATAGTGGGTTCTTTTAGATGATTAATGGACAAAATATCAAATTGTCAAGCTCAAGTTTGGTTTATTAATCAAAGACTAGACATGTAAGATCAAACTGCACAGAACAGTGATACATACAAATTGATCTGGAGTACCATGCATGTTATCTTGTACTAAGTTCAATTTAGTTAACATTCTACAAATCTCCTGTATATTGTTTTTTAACATTCCAGTTTAATGGCTAGCTCCAATCACTAGTAAAGGGCAACTTGTTAACTACATGGTTTAAAACATTCTGCTGTGCCTTATATTTCCATCCAAACAATGTTGGCAATACAACTAAAGCAAGTTGAAAACATGTTTTTGCCAACTACTGATTGAACCTCCCTAATCCAGTACTCTGTGATCCAGCAACATCTGTGGTCCAGAATGATTTTAGTTAGCTGGATGTCCACTTATATGTGTGGCCAAGTTTCCTGTGGTCCTGGTTCTCTGTGTTCTGTGCCAGTTTTTAGCTCAACTTATCCACAAATGTAATCAGCAGAAATGTTCACAATTCTGCTAGACAATATTGACCTCCCATGATTCAGCAAATTCTCTGGTTTAGCACCAGTCACATCCTGAGGGTGCCAGACTAGAGAGGTTCAACCTGCTCTGCATTTTGCCCTTTTTCCTTTGGAATAGTTTATATGCCTGCAAAACGTCTTTGTCGTTTTAGTGAAGCACAACTTAGAAATAGGTTGAGGTATACTATATTCTTATACTTGAAAAAAAGTCTAGCTCAGGGTGGCAATAAAATAGCAGTGGTTTGCCGGGGTTAATCCCTGGCAGGCTCTTACCACTATGTTTACCTGTGCCTCTGCAGGTATCAGTAATCACAGCTCATATTAGCCACAGATCACCATTCCCAGCCAATGGGAGCGGTGGGAAGCAGTGTGAAGTGGGACAACACTTTTTTGCAGAACCCATTTTCTGGGAATGGTGATCCGTGGCCAACAGGAGCTGCAATTGCCCATATCTGTGGAGAAGCAGGTAAATACAGAGGTGAGTACCAACCCCAGGGGCTAACCCTGGTGGACTGGATCCAACCTGCGGGCTGGTCTTTGCCCACCCCTCATCTAGTTAGTACATTTCCTTTGTATGCAGCCCCAATATTACTTACAAGGCTTTGTGGGAGTTGTCAAGCACAGCCACAATAAATGCGTAGGCTGTAGGCCTCATGCGTCAGCACCGCAAAGCATTACGGATAATCTCACAAACAAGCTAATAGATCCTTTAACAGTCTGACCTATAGGTCAAGAGCTGTGAATTGACTCTTTCACAGCAAGTAAATAACATGACCTATATATATAATACTTTCTCTCTGAAGACTGAAAAAGTGCAGCCTAAGCCATTTACTCAAGCCAGATACTTTAAACTTTCAAAGTATATTATTCCTTCTTGACTTACATGTGCAGTGCATGTGGAGAACTGGGAAGCTGCTGGTGCTATTGAGATTACTTGGGTATTTGCCATGACTACTGCTGTTTTCACATGGTTGCTACAGGCCTGAGAAGCAAAAATTTTGACTACAGGAGATGCAGAACTATTCTCACAGGTAGACTTCTAGGTAGGTGGTATAGAGTCATAGGCCCTACAGTCCAATTTCATGACTTTCTAGAAGAGTGTGCATGCCATGCCCATTCTCAAGTGCAATGACTGCTCTTATTTCTGTCCTTGTGAGGTTCCAAGAACAGGGAGGGGCTCCCATGTTAAGGCAAGATGCCATCTGGCCCTGTTTTTACCTATCTGAATATTTTTGTGGCTCTGTCAATTTGTTTTTTCATTTCCCCTGGTGGGTATTTCACGTTTCCTCAGCTCTCACCCCCTAACACTCCTACTTCACTTACGCTACATTGATGACTTCTTCATCATATGGACCCACGGAAAAGACACTCTTGAAGAATTCCACAAGGATTTCAACAACTTCCACCCTTCTATCAACCTCAGCCTGGGCCAGTCCACAAGGGGAATCGACTTCCTGAACACTATAGTACAGTTAAATAATGGACAAATTTCTACCACCCTATATTGGAAACCCACCGACTGCTACA